GTGAATTCAAAGGAGGCAACAGTACTAGTTCCAGAGATTTTCTAGCTTCAAAGTTTTACTACATTAGTTACCACAGCATCCCAGTCTAAGTGTCAGAGATGCAAGGAAAAACAAAACAAAACAAAGTACGAAACTAAATTATGTAAGTGCATTGAGTAAGCCAGAAATTGGACAGTTTCACAAATACATTTTTTTACGTTTTGTTGTTATTTGCTGCTTGCAATCTGTAGAGACCACTGACATCTTCACAAAAGATACTGTTCAGTGCCTTGAGTGAGCTTTACAATCTTACAGAGATTCTGGACAACTCATATGGGAAACACAGATCTACCGTTGTCACCTATCACCACACCAAGCAGCTTGCTTAGTGTATCATCACCAAAGAGTATCTCCAGCTAATAATAGTTGAAAGTCGCCGCTGATAATGCTGAAACACATTATACGTGGTGGAAAGGGCATGAAAAAACAACTTTTTTCCCCACATCAAATTGCATCAGACCAACCATTCTAGACGGAACACAAGAAATACAGTCTATTTGTACTGCTCTGTCACCTGCCTTTCTTCAGTCTGCCATCCTGTTGCTTTTTTCTTCAATGGGAAAAGCCTGATGACTAAGCCCAGATAACAGAAGTAAACTCAAGCACGGCTTTCTCGGCTAATGCGTTCAGTCATTTTCAAGCTGTGGTTCTGGGATTCACCAGTCACTTTTTGCGGATTCTCAGAAGAGGACCCAGAAAAGCAGGTTCATACACACTATGAAACAATCATTTTCAGCATCATAATCTGTGTCTGCTATCACTTTCTGTCTCCTTATGATCAGTAGGTTTTCTTCTAAATCTTGTTTCCTTTTTTAAAGCATTTTCTCCTAACAGTGGTTGCTATGTATCTTCTGTCATTACCTTTAGTCTACACAACTCAAACTCTCCTCAGTTCTGTGGTTTCCTCAAGATGTAGTTCAGCTGAAGAGAGAAAACAGAAACAGCAGAAAGACACTTACTGCACTTTGGGTGTAGATACTAACATTTCCGTATCTATCTAGGTCACATTCACACAGGTATGTTTGTGTTTATATTTGAGTTGTTTTCTTAGAACCTGTTACAGACACTAAGTGGGCACTCCACTGCAGAGGTAGGCTGATGTTTTCAAATGTCAATTCAAGTTAAAAACAAAAAAAAAAATCTGATTACAGAAATGTGTTCGAAACAGAAGTGAGGAAAAGTGCTAAAAGCTAGGTTGAGTGAATTCCTTATGAAGACCGCAGAGAAGCAGAGAGCAATGTGAATCTGCAGTGGATGTGCAGCACTTCAGTTAGTAGTTAAGCACGTCACTGGAAAATGCAATGTTTGTCACCAACAAAGGACGACTGTAAATAATTTGTTGCTTCAGCTGTTAAGGCTTTGGTTTTTTTCTGGTTCTGCCCTTTCAATTCCTCTATCCCCTCCCACATACTGCTATTTTTATATATAGCCAACACTACCAGATGTCATGTTGTCATCTGCCACCAATACACCATCACCCTTTTCTGATGAGGTTTTTGCTATTTCTAATCTTTAGGTTTATCTAAGGTTTCTGGTGTTAGGAAAGCTAGGAAGTAGAGAAAGAGGTGTTAAAAACCAAAGTCTGAACTAAGAGTCCATAAATGTAAACAGTTTTCCATCATGTTTTTTGTTTACATGATAAACTAAGCTAAATAAGCCAACGGAAACTCAGCCATATATGCTGATCTCTCTCTCTCCCAAAACCAAAGAGAAATAAAAAATACAGTTATTGAAAAGGATATTGTTACCCTGCTACGAGTCAGGATTTTCTATGTTTTTAGCAATAGAAAACGTGTATCATTTGAAAGACTGACAGGGTTTGTGGAAGGTGGAAAAGATGATTTGACTTTTTTCTTCTTTTTGCACTTTATCACGTGACTCCAGTGTTCCCAGTCCCAAAGAACAGTGTCTGTCAGAATGATATATATCACTGACAAAAAATTAAATATAAGCAAAAAATGAAATATAAACAAGCCTGCAGATGGAAAGAAGAATTACGGAAACATCTCTGGGCTGCAGAGGGATGCATGAATAAAAACCCTTACAAGACGCCTTATTCAAATATTTATCCAATTGCCAATGCATAAATGACCAAACGAATGGCCCACTGGCTCAACATGTAAAATAATTCATGAAGACAATGATGCATGAAGGGACAGGTTTATTACATCTCCTACACCTTCTCATTTCTGAGCCGGTGACCAAAGCAATAATGAAAGCCTTAATCCAGAAAACATTTACAGCAATTAGTTTCAGGTTCTGAAATGAAAAACACAATGTATTTGTGCTGTTAATTGAAACACTATTTGGGTCTCTTCCCCTCTCACACCCCGTGTGATTCTCTAACCTTGCAATGGCATTTTCCATACAGTAATACTTAAAAAACTACACTAAACACAACATAATCCTAAATAATAATTCATTTTTAATTACATGGTATAGAATAACTTGCAAACAAAAGACACTCATTAAGATTTACTGACAGGTACTGTATTTTTTGGCAACCCTAGAACAAACCAGAAGAAAAAGCAAGGAATTATTCTATAACCATGAGGGAAAGAAATGTCCATCTAAATGTAGAGGATTCATACGGCAAAACTTAAACTAAAGAAAAAATCCACACTTACAGCAGATTTTTTTTTTAATTCTTAGTGCAAGAAACATAACCAAGTTAATCACAGAATCAGTACTAATTAAGAATATGGAAAATTCTCCTATACAGAGGTAGAGTCCAGTGCACAAGGCTAAAACGATATTCAATAGTCTAAACAAGACTGAGCCAGGTTTTACGGAATCCACTTTTTAAAGTATCAGACTGTATGTACATACATACAATAAATAGACTATACAATCTTTAAAGTAGTTTAATAAACTTCACAAAAATTATAGTAGATGCATTGAGATCTTTACATAATCCAAAGATCATATCTCTGTCACCCAGAAATGGATAAAACCAATATTCCTGATATCAAGTTAAATGGAAAATAGTTTAGCAAAGTGTTGATAAATCAAAATATTTTACATATTTTAAAGCCTAAATTTATGCTTATAAAGGATGAATTTCAAATGCTCTGAAAATGTTCCTTTTGATACTATCTGTAAAGAGGTTTCGAATGCTGTAATTTGCATTTGTATTGTTATAGACACTTTCCTTACATTCCATATTCAAGGGGAAAATGGACTTGGATACTCACAGTTCTGATGCATTGGCACAACAAGAAGTGATGAGAATTAGATTATTTTAAAGGCCCAAAGGACATCAGGAGAATTGATGGACAAAACCTTCATGTCTCAAACTACACGAATCACATTAGAAAGTTAACAGAAAACTGTTTGGTATTACTACTTCAATCCTGTCAGTGCCTCTCTGCCCGGAGGCGTCCGATTAGCATTGCACTGGAAGTCAAGTGTGCATCTCTGGGCCCCTAGGTTTGTTACAAGCCCATAGGGCTTAATAAAACAAATACAGAATCTTTATGGTTTACCACAGTAGTGCATAAATCAGGGACGTCTGTTGCCATTCATTTCAGTGATAGTCGCAAAGAAGGGATTTCAGGGAACTGAGAGTTTTCAGCTGTATCTTTCTAAACTGTGCAAAAAGAATGGGAAAAAACATCACCCTGGGGCATTATAAAGCAAATATGCTTATACTGAGTTATTTTCTATAAAAGGTTCTTACAAATTCCAAGGGGGCAACAGCCACAGTAAGAGGGAACTAGTAACAACAATAGAAGAGCTTAATAATCAGAGTTGAAAATTATGTTCACAGTTCGGTTACTTTTAATTTCTATAAGCACCTACGCTGAAAAACACGAGGGTTTGTATTTTAGCTTCAAAATCAAATCTACTTGTGACAAATACCTTGTTAAGATTTCCATTCTGCTCTTCTACAGGCCTTCTCACTGGAACAATTTTTTTTATTGTTTTTTATTTTATACAAACAAGACTCACTTTGATTTAAAGTAAACATATAAAAATTGAGAATATTGCTTGCAACAATGGACCTGGAGGTGAAGGAATGAACTAGTCAGGCCATACAAAAAAGAAAATCTCCCTCCAAATGAATTCTGCTAAACTTCTAGTGCTATGAAAATCTGCAAAAAGGATCACAAGATCTGTTGCAAATTTCAGAGATTTGGCCCAAGTCTTATCATCATCATCATCTGAATACTTTAATAACTGTATCTTTATATTAAGGAAAAATAAATGATTCCAAGAACTCAGGAAGGCACACGCACCCAAGTATACTATAAATAAAACACATCATGAAATTAGGAAGATCTTCTGATCCCTGTACACACTTTTGGTTCAGCACTATGGTCAAGTTCTCTCTTTTGAAATACAATAAAAGGCATACAAGAAATATAACATATGTATAATAATTATGAAGACTAATGCTAATAAGACAGCTTACAGAGAAAAGTGCAGTGAAAAAACCCAACGCTATTTATTCAGGGGCTTGTGCTACTGTAAATACAGACTTCATATTTGCTGCTGTGCAAGGGGAAGAATTTATCCTGGGAAGCAGCTATGAGGAACACAAAAACCAACAAAAAATAACAAAGATATTAAGAGAAACCTTTAGGATGGAACTCTCCCAACTTCATTCCTCTAGTGCACAGTCATCTGACTACATGGTTTGTTTTCATGCTGCCATTTCTCTTCATGAGTACAGCCTATTAGAAAATGGCACAGTTCTTAAATATTTTTCTGCCTCTACTTCATTTGTTTGTTTCTTCTTCCAAGCACCTGATTTGCTGTTTCCTCATAAAAAGGGTAAAGCTGTTAGCGAAAGTGAGAAAAAAGTTGTTGCCCATCTTCTCTCCCGAACACCGACTTCTCCATTTCTCCTTCTACTAGGTATTTTACTCGTGTGCTACGCAATGGGGAGGCACTGTAAAGGCAGCTTGACGGATTCAAAAATAAAAAAATCAAAAGTCTTTTTTTCTTTATCCCCCCGCCCCCAGCCCACCCCGAAAAAAATGGATGGATGAAACAGTACGTCCATAGGAATATTCCAGTCTCCTCTGTTAGGAGATAATAGCAGGGGACCATCTAACCACAGTCAGATTGTCAGCACTGACTGACCGTTTCTTTGCGGCTTTCCTGAAGTCCTTGTATTTATCTTCACACAAGCGGGAAATGGCCTGTAAGACAAAAGAATGAAAAAATCTCAATTGCCTTGACCACAGCTATCCAGGTAAAATAAAACTAAAGACAGATTTCTACATATAGGTAGAATTACAAAAAGTCACTTTGTTAAGCAAAACACGTGACGAGCTTCTCCCCAAATCCTCATTCTCATTTCATTAATCTTAAAAGAAAGAAAGACACTGACATTGCATTGCCCGCCCCAGCTGCTTCTGAAGCACTTGGCATATTCCAAGCCTTTTCTTTACAGGTTAACCATCACAAATCTCATCGAGGTAGCTGACAATGCCTACCCACTGCTATATGGTAACTCATATATAGCACTTCATGGGTGAAAAATTGTGGAAAACTTAAAACAATTATAGAAATTGTAAGTATATTTGGAGAATTTATGAAGCGGATGGCTTTTAATTTTTTTATTTCCTAAAAAGTCTTGTAGCAATTATGTTTTTCTCTACTGATAAATGATCTGGCAGCATACTCGCCCTGCTTTGCTTATAGAGCTGATGTTTACTTGCCTTTCAGAAGGAGATGGTGATTTCTATGTGATCAGGCTATCTGATATGGTGCCAGTGGGAAATGTAACTCATATTCAGAATAATTTAATTTGCATTAAAAATACATAGAAATGTTAAAAACCTTTTAAAGAGAGAGACAAACATTATTCAAATGTTGACTCCTATTATGCTACACTGGAGTTAACGATTTATGTTTCTTCTACCATTTTTAGCCAAGTTTAAAACAAATATTTATTATGGACAGACCTCATATGCACAAATATACTGTGCCCTAAAATAGCATGTCTGTTAAGAGTTCATATGGTTGGGACAGGCTACGGTTGGCATCAGTAGGGATGTTAACTCTGGCAATCAAACATGCAGAACTGCAGAGAAAGGTCACTGCAAGGAGTACTCAAGGTCAAATTAAAAAATCACATGAACTAAACCAGTATTCTTATTTACTCAGGAATGTTTTTAAGTGGTGTCTTAAGATAAGACATTTAATAAAAAGTACTGTACAAACAAAACCAGTATAAGTGTTTGACTATAAAACAAGGCAATACAAATAAACAGCCTGACTGATCATCATTTTCTTTCTTGATCTTTACTTCTATAGCACAGCAAGTTGTAGCAGTGAAGAGTCCTTTAATTTTAATAGTCCTGCAAAGACCAGAGGCAGGGATGACAGAAGCACACAACTCTGAGAGCAAGTTCTAACACTTTGGTCAAGCCAGCCACAAAACATGGTTAAATTAAAAAAAACAAACCAAAATCAACACAAAACCTATCACCCACCACCAAGAAACCAGTTGCTACTTTTTAGTTGGAAACTGAATTTCCTTTTGTTAAGACCATTCGTGAACACAGTTTTCTTTCTTGGTGCACGTGAAGAGAACAACAGAATAAAATAACACAAATACTCCCATTGCTTTGTAGACCATAACTTAACTCACTCAGAACTGCTTAATAACATTTTATTTAATTTAACCAGGAACTCAATGGATTAAGAAAGTTTATGCAATTTAATCAGATTTAAAATCCCATAGATGAAAAGCATTTAATCATGAAATACTGTGCCAAGGCATGGCTTGGCAAATAGGTGTACTGAGGTGGAGCTCAGCTTCTTTCAGCTGCCAAATCAGGCTATTACCTTAGGCATCAAACAGCCAGACAAGGTAATCACTTCAAAATTTTCTGTTGCACACAAAAATTTCTGTTCTGGAACTTGGTCAGACAAAATGAAATTTTGCTTGGAAGCGGCACTTAATATTTGGCATCTCTAGTCTCTGGTGATTAATCATATGGATAAGAAACACGTTGACTGCCGTTTAAAGTAATCCTGTATCTAAAGATGCCTCTTCATTTGCAAGTAATTCACAAAATTGACATTTGGAGCCTATTTGGCAAGTTAGTTAGTTAACTTTAGTATAACATATGGGGAAACAAGGCAAAAGCATAAAGTTGTAAATATTTATTATTGTCCTTCAGTTAAAATAAATCCAAATAGCTTATAAACACCTGTCATCTGATATTTCTGTTGCTTTTATTGCTAGAAAAAGAAACTGATTTTTGACAGTTGCAAGGGACCATTTCTCGTATGAAATCAAAACTTTCTTAAAACCAGCAACACTATTCAATCATGTGAAATTTTGTTGAACTTGATTGTAATATCTGTAATCAGCTAGAAAAACGCATACATACATATTCTTCTATTATATATACGCATACAGAACTAGAAGACAGTTTCTCTGCTGAGTTATATGGTTCTAGATGAGACTTTGTCACTGGTGAAGGGGGCGGGTAGGGAGAAAGGAGCGGGCAGAAAGGCAGAAGTAGTAGTAGTATAAATTTTGGCTGCATGCACATGTTTGTGCAAGGCAGGAAAGCAGCAGGGCTGGCTATGGCTTCACTGCTGGGAGTGCACAACGGCACACAACCGTGAGTGCTGCAACACCCCCTAAAAAATGGACAAACCAGAGAGAACTTAGGAGGGACAGACAGCACTAAGTCTGGAAGGGTTATATATAAGGAAAATGTTTAAAAAAAAAAAAAAAAAAATCACTAGAGCAACTAGAAGTTGTGATGATGGGGGTTCTCCTTAATTGATGAAGAAGGAAAAGAAGAGCAATTGGGTTACTCCTGACAAAAGACCAGGGGAGTTTTGCTCTCCCTTCACTTCTTGGCTAAGAGGGTTCTGAACATACAAAACACGCAGGATTGCAATCAAGCACTCTGACAGTGGGAAGCTGGAGGGATATAAAGACACTTCTCTACTTGTAACTTACATATTTTTCTCCTCTTTCTTGTCTGTTTGATCTACAGGACTGTACCTCTTTAGGGTCAAGAAAACACTGCACATAGTTCAAACCCTTTGAACTATGTGCTCAAGTACTATCCTAACAATAAAAAGTTCAGACAACATATAGTCAGTAAAACTGGGAGTGCACTAACAAATGATCTTACAAAATCTAGCCTTGAAACAAGCACAGTGCTAAGATCACAAGCAGAAACAGGGTAGGCACCTTTTATGGACTTACCCCAAAGAACAGACTCTGACTCATATTTAGCTCAGTACACAGGAGAATAACCAGGTGCAAGAGTAGGAAATTACAAAATAGTGGATTAAGGCTGGATATCCAACAACCTTCTTGGCAGAAAAATCTCCCATATTAGAAAATAGTTCTCAGGAGAAGCAAAGGAAGCCTTGACATTTGACATAATTAAAGGAAGGAGAAAACACACTACAACATATGCTGGTTGGAACAAACAGCATTGGCAGGTGGACAGACTGGATGATCTAATGAAAGGTTATTTGCTATTTTTAATTTGCATGATTCCATACAATGGGGAAAAAAAGAAAGGGTCATGAAAATGATTTCTGGCTACTAGGTGGACTGGCATAACAAATTCAGGACACTTTTAGGCCACAGGCTGATGAAAAGTGAGAAAAAATTACTTTCATTTAGTCATTTAATAGACATAGCTGCTTCTTAAGTGTTAATTGTGGGAACTTTAACTTAGGCAAAACATCCATCTGGAGCAAATGCTCCAGAAAGCGATGTCATTTTTAACAAGTACTATAACCTCTTATAACACCTCTATGCTGACGGATCTTTTCCTTTTGATGAGGAACAGTGTTTACTAGCCTTGTCCTTGGTCGTCTTGGGGTTTTTTCTTCATCACAGGTATGTCAACCTCACGGTATTTGCAGAAATAGCAATGCAGATTCTGCCATGCCAGATCTAATACTCCTGCTTTAGATAAATAAAATAGCTTGAAAACGCAAAAATAGCACAAATGTGTTATAATATAACCATTTCTCTATGCAAGACCTTTCGTGATCTCAAATGTCAGTAAATAAGTTGTTTTAAATCTTAGGACTGAGCAAGGTCCTTTCAGTTTACCAGACAAGGCAAAATCCTTCCACTGCATACGTACATTCACTATGAGTCTGTTGTCTTTCATCACGGACTGCAGCTTTTCTCTCAGTATCAAAAATATCACTGCCTATGTGGTACTACATCTCCTCCACTTGACAATCCAGGCAACTGTTTTAAAAACAGAAACTCTGGGCTGAACAGCATGTGAGAGACCTAGAAAAGTGCTGCAAATGCATTTTGAAAACTCTTGGTAAGCTAAATGCTTAACTGTGCTTAAGGAACTAGGCAGTTCCCATCACATTCCCCTCCTTCTGGCCACAGAACAGGGGCAAGGAGCTGGTAGACCAAGTTGGTTTCACAGCAGAATTTACTAATTTCACATTACTAAATCCTCTTCCCTGAAGACATCCTCTTTGGCTAGCAGGGTTACTTTACAGTCAACTTCTGCTAGCGGCACAAAGCATCCCCAACATGGGAAAATTTTTAACAATATGGATTTATTGAAAAAAAGATTCCGTTATTTCTTTTTAAATATGCCTTCTCTTTAGTTAGTACAGAAGAACCACCATTATTCTCTGGGTATTTGCAGTCATCTCCTATTTTCTTTTCTTCTACAGTTTTAGGAGCTATCGTTGTTACCTTCATTTGTAACCTACCGTTATACATTGTATGGATATAGACTGACAGTGTGGGGAAACACTGTACTAAATTATCTTCAAAAAGTAATTTACTCAATTTTAATATATGTAATGGTACTTATTATCAAGACGCACCATCTAATAACATCGTAAACTACCTCTTCGCATGTAAGATTGTAATCCCAATGAATTTTCATTTTTTTTTAATTATCTTCATTAGAAACAAAATTTGATGCAAATTTACACACTCCATACACAGAATTAAGTTACATTCTTACTGGAGCTATCTGCAAAATTTCAAAAGAATATTTGGAAAGAATGAGAAATACAACTTTAGTGAAATCTGCTTTGATTCTTTCTCCACCACTTTCTGTCCCCATTACAGTCACAAACAAGTCAATTAACCTTCCCACGCACCATTTCCCCCCCCAAAAATGTGTATTGTACTGCCTGCCTGTTTTACAGGAGCACTAGGAGTTTCAGAACGTGCAAAGCTCACTTTAACCCACAGGCAAACAACCTCCAGTGCAAAGCTGTTATATAATTAAAGACGTGTGATGTTAAAAGCAGTTAGCATCTAATGACAAATTTCAAAATTAGTAACAAAATGCGTACACACTCATGCAATAATGCTCTTATGTGAAAAACTTCATACCAGAAAGCTCAGGAAAAATAGATTCCAGTCTTGCAAAGTGCCCACAATTGGCTGATGATTTTAAATTCCCCCTGTGTCTGTGGGAATTCATAGTGCCCTGAATTTCACAGGTCCAGAGCATCCGACATAGTTTTCTGCACACAGTATATTCAGGTCTCATAAGGATTCATGATTTATTCACTAAAGACTTGTGCTCATTTCTGTTTTCCCATTACCGAGAAAAACACCACGGGAGAGAACAGACTTGGATACACGTGAAGTGGGAGCAGTAGCAGATAACAAGCACATGGAGTATTTGTTTTCAGCAATACTTGTTAATATTCTGTCCTTTAAGTTGGATAATCAGCTTTAAGAAACCAAATGAACACACAAAACCAGACTGTGAACAGAGTAATTGTAAAACTTGTGGATACTTTCACAAGGCCAATTCAGACAACTGGAACTGAAAAAGAAATGGAAAGCAATACGAGGTATGAAGCAAACTGAGCCAAAAAACTGTCCCCACATCCATGAATACTGAAAGCACAAGCAAAACAGTTATGTAAATCGGGGCACATGATATTCTAATATCTCATGGGAATATCTGGGAAGAGATGGGAAAAGGGAAAAACAATGCAAAAATTCCAAATCCCCCCCATATATTCAACTCTGAGCAATCTATAAAGAAAGTGTCTTACCTCAAGTTTATATGCCCTGTCCCTGCTGAGGGGCTCCAAAGGAAAACTCAGGTTATTTGCTTCTGCCAGGGAACGCAAATCAAAATAATACTTGGCATAAACGCTGGAGGGAACATTAATATTGAACTGCAACAGCTCAAGAAACTGGCGTTCCAGCTCATTCCTGTAGAAAGAAGATAATTGTGAAAACACACTTCAGACTGTGCATTCTGAATGTAATTTACTTTAAATTGCAAATGGTATAAATCAAATTAATTTCTTATTCTTGCCAGATGCAATTACCCGAGCCTAAGGTTTGACCTAGTCTACCAAGTTCTATTGGCATATGTACGCCAATGAGGAATACGAAAGATGCTGCACCTTGCAGCTGCTACTGCGATGCCAATCAAACCCAGATACAAACTTTTGCTAGCAGAAGGGAACCTTTATGAGTTTAGCTAATACAATCTGGGAAAGAAAAGCGAGCAGGAAAAAAATTTTCCTGTCATTTCTGCTGTACCTCCACTAGGTGGATCTGCACACATGGCTATGCAAACACAAAACACAGACATGCCCTAAATTTGTCAGACATCTCTCATAAATGTTGCAAATTACTCTAACACCTAAATTACTGGAGAACTTATTTACTCTCTTCAGCCTTTCATAATCAGTCATTTAAAACTAGACATAGGAAACCTGAATTTTTCAGCATACTATCTTATCTTTCTCTATGAATAGACTGAAGAAATTTTTCCCTAGGACGTGCAATCAAAATTGACAGTGGTGATCATTTGTTTTTCAGTACCTAAGACAAACGTGTTTGTCAAAATACCTGATAAGAACAGAGGTCCTGTTTGAGCTCCCACCCCAGGAGAACTATGATGTAGCAATACATTATTACCTACACCAGTACATGAAAAAGTATGTTAAGAAATAAGTAGATCTTCAAAATTAAGGACTGGAAATTTTCATAAATCGCATGGTAACTAGATATCCTACATAATACTTATGCAGGGACACATGATATATTCAAAACAGTGATTTCAAGATATGAGAAATAAAAAAGAATAAATGGGTGGTAAAAGCTGTACATGTTTGCTGAAGAGTATATGGACTGCACAGCTGTGTTGCCAGCAGGTACTGACTGATATTGCATTTAAGTTACATTTTGACTGCAGTGTAAGTGTGCAAGGAATGTGCAGGCAGTTGGCAATAGAAGAGGAAGGATCTGAGGATGAAAGTACTGGTACAGTAGTTTTTCAACACTGAATGATTTTTTTTCCTCACTCTTTACTCTTACATCACTCTTACATCATTGTCTTTCCTTACCTTCACTTTCTCTCTGCCAAAATCTTATGTTTACATAATGATAAATATTAATTAACTTTAAAAGACTACCTAAAAGCTGGATATGGACTCTTTGGCATGAATTCATACTGTTGAAGACTCTAGCTTTTAAAAATTTAAAATTTAAAAAAATTTAAGACATCTAGCAATAAATATAGGAGATTATCTTCAAATGTCCTTTTATACTGCCAAGATTTTACTTTCTGCAAGCTAAGCCTAAAGGTCTATGTTAACAGATAATATAAAGCCTATTTTAATGGAGAAAGACATTGACTGTACCTCTTTTGAAGAGCATCCCCAAATCTTTAAGAACAATACACAGCCTCAGATTTTTACTATCCCCTAGTTCCCAGATTTGAAGGTTAGATCAGCAGACTAACTATAGCTGAGAAACAACAAAAAAACCCCAGGTATTTTGGATTTGAACTAATGTAATATAACTAACCACTATACCCTTCTTCCCTGAAACATCCACATTAGACTGCTTTAGCATATGCTTTCCTGTCGCCACTCCACAAATTCACACAGAAACTCAAGGTAATGCTACATACATGCAGTTCAGTCCTCCCAAGTCCTCTATTAGCTTTTAGGCACAGTTCAATGTACTGCTGGTGACTTATAAAACTCAGAAAGGTCTGCATGATGTTTTGCAAGATACACTTCTGCTGAATGATTCACTGCAGTTGAAGATTTTGACCTAGAGTTTTTCCTGCCTTATTAATAAACAACAAAAGCCCCTGTCCTGCGTAGAGCTAGACACTTCAAAATCATAATACTGTACTGTCCCAACTACCTGAAAAATAAGAAAGAAAGAAAAAAAAAAATCCACCACACTCGGGATAGGAGGAAAAAAACAATTCGGAAAAACTGGCAATCAGGTCAACAAGCACCAAAATCTTTGCTGGAGGACTAACAAGGAGCCCCAAACACAGAGCCCATGAGCCAGATCACCAAGTACCATATAGATAGCACAGACTCCCCAAAGGCTTCTAGTTTTGCAGTTTGTGAGAACCCTAAAATCTTTAAGAAAAGGTTAAGAAGCTAAAAACTTTGAGGACAAGGACTCATCAGTTTGGCTTAGGGAATGTGCAGTGCAGAAAGAGGGCCGATGTTAGCACAGGAGCACGGGTCTGCCATGTGAGTAACGGTGCTATATAGCTCAAGTGCAACTTCTAACAGTAGCACCATCATGTGTTTGTCAAAAACAATAACCTCTTTTTTTCTTTCCTTTCACACCATCACAGTATACCTCATCACCTGCCTCCAAAAAAAGCCCTGAGAATCAGCAATTTCAAAACTCGTATTTCTAACCGTTCCTGATTAATACTGTCGCATGGCACAGCCAAACCTGTCAGTCTGCTTCAAGCTGTTCAGCACTCTGCTTCAGCTCATGTCCCAGCTTCAGAAAGGCTTTAAAAGCTCACAGATTTGCCTTGGAGGAGGAGTGAATGGAGGAAGGCTCTTACTGCCACTGAATACCCAAAAGCATGGGAAAAGGATCAAGGGAGAAGTAGCTTAGCAAAATCATTCAGGAAACACTCAAAACAGTCAAGGAAGCATTATCAAATTGTTCTGCATGGAATAATATTGCACGCAGAAATGTGAAGGGCCTGATTTTAGCTTCTTGTCCCCCCTTTTATTTTAGAAATCTCATTCTGCCTGGGTTATGTTGGAAAAGCAGTATCATCAACCATCCTTAAAGTAGCTTACATATTTTAAAACAGATACTGAAATAGCATTATGTGGTATTTCCTACCTCTATTTTGAAATGAGTTTTCCCCAAAACTAATGAAAGTACCTACAGCATACCACAGCAATACAAGCTTTGTGTTTTTCACTTTGACTCAGGGAAAAAAAACCCACCTTATTACAAATTGCTTGTTAATACAAGATTTAGAGATAACTTTTCTAATATTTGAGCAATGATAGCTACTCACAATTTGTAAGTCTTATCTAGCAGTGTATGAGCATGCTTAATTTAAAGCAATCAGCTGACTCCTAACATTGAACCTTTCCCTTACAGATCATTTTTAGACCAGCTATAAATCTGACAAACAGCAAACTACTAGGAAACTAAATTAGGGCTGCTTTAGCAAAAACGCTTGGCCTTTCACTGCTTTGAGAATGCAAACTGTGATCCAAAAAACATTCTGCTTGTATAAACATTTCTCCTCACCTCCCTCCCTCTTCCCAGAGTGGTTATCCACAAGCTCTCTTCAGTGGCTGCAATCCTGACTTAAGTGAGTTAAAGCAGAGGCAAGTCTATATACTTCTTATTACAGATACTTAGCTCTGCTTAGAAGAGCTTGAAACACACACATACCGTACCAAAACATCTTTTTAATAATTTTATTGTTACTAGTTCTTATAAAAAAAGGGTGCACCAGTAGACTGAAAATGTCACCCTCCGAATGCACGAGCCGCAGTGGCCTGCCAAGGCACCCGGCCGCCCCGGCACCATCCCAGCGCCAATTCCAACCGCAGCCCTTCCAGTACCGCTCAGGCAAGGGCACCTTGGAAGTGTGCGTGGTACGTGACTCAGCCCTGAACATACAGATGACACAAACCCCAGGCACTTCAGCCAATATATGCAATACCTGCCAACCAACCAGACAAAAAAAAGCACTGGACTATTTAGTGAAATGAGCATTCATTTTAGTATTTGTAAACACTAAGATCTTAATTGTGTTTATTCTTATCACAGTTCTTTTTATTCCCGTTGGAATATACTCTTAATATGACTCGGGAGTATCCAGCCAGATATCACAACTATGCTGTTACAATATGCACTTCTTAAGAATGCCATCAGATAAAAAGATGGAAAAATGGAAATTTCTCTTTGCAAGTTAAAATACTAGATTTTTAACATGTTGGAAACTAACTCAGCAGGATACGGGGGAGGGGGGAAAAACCCAAACCACAAAAGCACTAATTTTGAATAATGGCAATAAATAAGTGGGTGATCATCTAAGGGTCATTAGGATCACAACGTTTTTTTTTTTTCTTGCCTTACATGTTGGTCTACTGTCTGTATGGAGAACTAGCACGACAGTAAATGTTGCTGAAGTGAAGACATGCAGGCTCATTGGATGTGGGTTTTTTTGTCAAGCCATACATTCAAATATTCTGCAGGTCTTGTTTCATCACTGTGCATGAACATCCAGTGGTAAAGTAGACTTCAACCAGAAAACAAAAATAATTCATGTCTTCTATGTGAGCAACTGTCAAGTAGACCTCATGCCATCTATCAGCATCTACCATGTTTAGATACAATGCAGGTATACAAACTTTATATAATTTATGAGAGAACTTCCTGCTCCCCTTATACACACAGATCTTGGCACTCATTGAGAAAGATAAACATACTGCACTCACATGTCTTCGACCGTGATCTCTTTCAGGATCTGGCAGTAATCCACGTTCCACACTGCCTGGTCGTCCCAAACTTTGGATGCCAGTAGAATTGCACCCAGTACAATTCGCTTCCAGTTTGCTGGACAAATATCTATCTCTGCATAAGTTAAAAGTCTTTCAAGATATACCTATGGAAACACATTAAAATCAAGATTTAATCTGTTTTGCTATTAAGTAGAAATGAAAACTATTCTTATAAACCCATTCCAGCAATTTTAAAACAGCAGTCTGCTCTCAAGAAGATTCTTTTATAAAAGCTGCAGGTTTAAATACATACATTTATGCCAAGCTAAAGACTGAATGTGATAAATTCATATTTTAGTTGGCCTTTGCCTTATGATCATATTACCAGAAACAAAACTTAGTTTTCCCACCTGTAACTGTTGGTAATATAGTCACATGTTGGAATGAATTCAAATGATAGCTTAAATAAATTATTAAAATAATAATGTAAATAAATAAAATGCTAATTATTAATGACGAACGCAAGGGTATGCTACCTCTAATAGCTACTAGCTATCATACAAACAGCTATAGTTGTAATTTACTGGCAATCAGTTATCAGATACGGTCATGTCATGCCGGGCCCCTCTGGTGAGCCTGTGTGAAGAGGTTCTATAGACACCTACATGATGGATGGAGGAACAGTTACCACAGAAACAGCAAACTGAACAGAGAGGGAAAGTATGTGCTAAGAAGGTAATTCCTAACTATTTCCTCTGGACCGATAAGCTCTGCAGATGAATAACAGCAATCCTGTTGGACCTACAAGAACTGACAAGCTCAGGACACCAGAGTCTGGCCCAGTCTGCCCAAGGCCACCAACACAGGACAGCATCAACCAGAGCTCATATAACCCAGACCTCATCCAGGAGGGTGGTAGGTACTATTTACAAAGACTACAGGGCTATATACGCACATCCGATGAAACAAGGGACCCTGGAGGGCCTTTCTGAACACCTACCAAAGAGCTGCTGGGGGTGAGGGGTGCAGTATGACCCTCTGTTTCCAAAGACAGAGCTAGGTTGCCCCCCCGCTGCTGATGCTCCAGCCAGGGAGCTATGGGTGAATACGCGAGGGATCCACGGCAGTAAGTCAGTCAACATGCTGTGTGAATGGTTGCCTGCTATCGGTAACAGCAGTTCAATTACATCAATAATAACACATTGATGAACAAAATAGGTTCTAAGAAATACTGGTTGCGGGTGATGTGTGTGACCTCCTACTCTATCCCCTGTTAGGGGCAGAGAAATTACAACAATTATGAAAATTGACATGTCAGGTGAGCAAAACTGAATACTTCTGCAATCCACAACATTTAAACACTTTATATACTAGCTGAGAAGACACATAATAAATCTCCTGCAGTTTGACTAAGTAAATGTTTATTAGCACCTAATCAAATAATACCCAAAGAACAGCCAATATATCCAAAATTCAATGTAGGATACATGCCGGTAAGGATTTGAGGGGAAGGGGAAAGGGGGGATGTAAGGGGAAAACTTTAAAACCCAGAACAGCTCACTTGTGATTTTCTATAAGGATGCACACTCATACAAGCACACAGAGGACCTTCAGTGATTTGTGCTTCTGGAAAGGTCTAGCATTAGTAGAAAATATTACATATTTAAAAAGTAAGAATTCATATATTTTGAAGCTCATGTATTTTTATGAGTCACCAATAACATCAAGACCGATCACATCCTTTATATAGTTTTGTTCATGAATTTTCACAATTATGATATGTACGAGTAATTAGAGCTTGGCAACAAGATCATCAAAACCAGTAGACAGCTGTTGTAGAATTTAAAGTTTTACAGAAAAAGAATCTATTTTATAAAAAAGAAGTTAAATCTGAATACATGTACACAGATATTCAGTCCACAAAATGAACTGTCTCACACACTCTGCAGTGTAAGCAGCACACTGAGCAAGAAAATAATGGGAAGAAATACAAACCACACAGTATCAGACAACTTTTGTTCAAAGTGGCCACCACAAAGTACAAGTTCTTTGCTTCCTACTACTACTGAAGGAAAATAAAACTCGAGTTACAGTGTCTGTAATGCTCACTAATACAGTCATATTACAATGAATTCATGTGTAAAAAGTATAAAATTTTCTCTCCTCAACAGACCACCTCTCCCAAGCAACAGATTTGTCAGTCAGCTGTGAGGTTGTTTCAAACAGGTTTCACTGCACTCTTCTGGCAATGATTTAAGGAAAATCAGATGCAGTCATTTATTAAGTTAGTAAATTCTGCTCTGATTCAAACCAACATTTTTTACTGCCTTCACTACCATCAAGGAAGTGAACTTGTTCTGCAGTTTCGTTTCTTGCCCGTGGAGCGACTTGCTGTGCATAAAGGAGCAGAACTTGAAACTGGAGGTGCTTCAACATGACAACACAGGCACATTTACTAAACCCAACAACTAGTCCTGATATGCTACTCTATAAAAATACATGTTTGCATTTACTGAAGAATAACCTACTCTTTGTACCTTGTAATAGATCTTATAATACATTGTGATAAAAAAGCAATTACGTGGTTATTTAGGTTGCTAGTACTCTTACAAGAGTTTACATTGACTGACAGAATCTAGCAGGAGATTTTATGAGATACTCTGACGAAAGTACAATATAAATGCTAAATATTATACCTACCTAAAAGGCTGCATATTTTTGTATTATATTATATATATTTTGTAAATGTACAAAATGTATATATG